TATTAACCATCCAAAGTTAAACAATTACATAGCAGTACTGACTGCTTGGTCAACACCTGGCAAACACCTGGCAGAAGACAGCACTTTTGGTGAAAGAAAGGCTAACTGTTTTATCATTAGAAATAAAATACATACATGTACAAACATACTGATACAGAAGATGTTAGAGCAGGCTTACCCCGCTGGACATAATGTTCAAGCCTTTGCTCTTTCCCAGAATATTTTGGTTCTTGCAATGAACTCCTCCTCTTTGGAGCTATAAAATGCATTTCAAACCCTAATAAAACTTCAGCAGGAGGCCATTCAGCCCATCCTGCCTGGTGCAACTATTTACACCAGCTGACCAATTAGTCTCATCCTATCTTGCTATTTTCCCTGTAGCCCTGTAGTTTCCTTTTTTCTTATTCTGATTATTGATCCAATTCCCTTCGGAGAGCTATCTTTAAATCTGCTTTCACCAAACTTATGAGCAACACATTCTAGATTACAATAACTTTCCCGGAAAAAAAATTCTCATTTCCCTCTTTTATCTTGAACTCGTGTTCCCTGGCTATAGACTCAGATGTACAGCACAGAAACAGACCCTACAGCCCACCTGTCCATGCCGACCAGATATCCTGAATTAATCTAGTCCCATTTGCCAGCATGTGGCCCATATCCCTCTAAACCCTTCCTATTCATACACCCATCCAGATTGCTTTTAAATGTTGTAATTGTACCAGCCTCCACCTCTTCCACTGGCAGCTTGTTCCATTCCATACATGCACCACCCTCTGCATGAAAAAAGTTGCCTCTTAGCTCCCTTTTAAATCTTTTCCCTCTCACCTTAAACCTATGCCCTTTAGCTTTGGACTCTCTTATGCTGGGAAAGAGACCTTGGCCATTCACCCTATCCATGCCCCTCATGATTTTTACAAATATCTATAAGTTCAACCCCAGCCTCCAAAGTTCCTGGGAAAATAGTCCCAGCCTATTCAGCCTCTCCTTGTAGCGCAAACCCTCCAAAACCAGCAACTTTATTGTCAATCTTTTCTGAATCCTTTAAAGTTTAACAACACCTTTGCTATAGCAGGGCAACCAGAATTGAACGCAGTATTCCAAAAGTGGCCTAACCAATGTCCTGTACAGCTGCAACGTGACATCCCAACTCCTATACTCAATGCACTGACCAACAGAGGCAAGGACACCAGACGCCTTCTTCACTATCCTATCCGCCTGCAACTCCACTTTCAAGGAACTATGAACGTGCACCTCAAGGTCTCTTTGTTTGGCAACACTCGCCAGGACCTTACCATTAAGTGTATAATTCATGTCCTGTTTTGCCCTACCAAAACGCAGCACCTCAATTATCTAAACTGAACTCCATCTGCAACTCCTTGGCACATTGGCCAATCTGATCAAGGTCCCATCGTACTGACATAACCTTCTTCACTATCCACTACACCACCAATTTTGGTGTCATTTGCAAACTTACTAACGATTCTTCCTAAATTCACATTCAAATCATTTATACAAATGACAAAAAGCAACAGACCCAGCACCGATCCTTGTGGCACACCGCTGGTGACAGGTCTCCAGTCCAAAAAATAACCCACTACCACCTACCTTCAAGTCAATATTGCATCCAAATGGCTAACTTTCCCTGGATTCCATGTGATCACACCTTGCTAACCAGTATACCATGTGGAACCTTGTCAAATGCCTTAGTGAAGTCCATATAGATCACGCCCAACATTCTGCCCTCATCAGTCCTCTTCGTTACTACTTCAAAAAACTCAATCAAGTTAGTAAGATACTATTTCCGAAGAACAAAGCCATGTTGGCTATCCCTAATCAGTATGTGCCTTTCCCAATACATGTAAGTCCTGTCCCTCAGAATCTCCTCCAACAACTTATCCACCACTGACGTCAGGCTCACTGGTCTTGTTTACCATCTTTCTTAAATAATGGCACATTAGCCTCCCTCCAGTCTTCTAGCATCTCACCCATGGTCATTGATGATACCAATATCTCACCAAGGGGCCCAGCAATCACCTCCCTAGCTTCCCATAAAGTTCTGGGATGTATGTGATCAGGTCCCAGGGATCTACTCACCTTTATGCATTTTAAGAGGTCCAGCACTATTTCCTCTAATTTTCCAGACTTCCCAACCAAAGAAACAGCTTACCTACACCTACCTGGTCTATCCCTGTAAGTATTTTGTAGGTTTCAAAGAGATCACTTCACATTCTTCAAAAATTTGGAGTACAGACCCAGTTTACCCAATCTGTCTGCATAGAACAGTTCCACTGGGAACAAGTCTGGTGAACGTTTGTTGTACTCCCTCTATGGCAATCATATCTTTCTTGCAATAACTGCACCCAGTATGTCAGGTACGGTTTAACCAAGCTTCTACACAGTTGTAACGAAACTTCACAACTCCTGTACGCAATGTCTTGCGATAAAGCTTAACATTTCATTAACCTTCCCAACAGTTTGCTGCACCTACACGTTAGCCTTCAGTAACTAACTCACAAGGACATTTAGATTTTTTGTACAGCTACACTTCTCAACCTGTCGCTACTTAAGTAATTCTCTGCTCATCTCTTTTACCATAGTTGATAACCTCATGTTTTTCTACATTATATTCAACTGCCATATTTTTTGCCCATTCACTAAACCAGTCCAAATCCTCCCGAAACCACTTAACATCTTCCTCAAAACACACATTTCTGCTTATCTTTGTATCATCCACAAATTTCAGGTCCAGTAGATCTGGAAAGTTAATTCCAATTTCTCTCCACAGATGCTGCCAGACATGAAGTTTTCCTACAATTTCTGTTTTTGTTAACTGAGGAAGGTCTCTATTCATACTGTCTGAAAACAACTGATTCAAGTTTTTAAATAAAACTGATTTATGCTAGTCAATACACTTCAGAGTTGTAACAAGCAAAATTTGTCTCTTAACATTATTACGAAGATTTTAGGCAGACAACCAGAAGCCTGGTTAAAGTGGTAGAATTTAACAATTGTCTGAAAGGAAGAAAGTAAAGTGGAAGGAATTCCTGACCTTAAAGTTCAGACACCTGAACAATGAGCTATCAAATTGGCACTATAAAACTTGAGATGCTAAAGAGGCCAGAATTATTTATAAAGATTGAAGCATTACTTCTCTGGGAGCTAACGTAAGTCAGCAGGTACAGGGGTGACAGAGTAAAGGGGCTTGTTGCAAGTAAGGACAGGCAACAGAGTTTTGGAAGACCACCGTCTTTTGGAAGTTTAGGAAGGGAAGAGTAAGGGATGTGGTGAGGACTGTATTGGACTGGTTAAGTGTAGAGGTAACAAAGGTATATACAAGGAAAGATTTCAGCAGATGAGCAGAAGCAAGAATGGAGACACGCAATATTGTAAAGATGGAAACAAGTGTGACGCATTTAGAAGGCCATTTCTAGGCCAAATACGAGACCAAGGTAGCAAACCATCTCAGCCTGAGACAATTGGCAGGGAGAGGGAATGGAGTCAGTGACTAGGAAGATTATAACAGGAACAGTGATTTTAGTCCTCAAAAATTAAATTGGCATAAATTTCTTCTCATTCAGCACTGGATTTTGGTAAGGAGTCTCATAATTTAGCAACAGTGGGGAAGTCACGAGAGATACTGATGAGGTAGAACTGGATGTCATCAGCTGGTGTGTGTGAAAATTAAAAGTGTGGTTTTAGTTAATCTCACAGACAGCAGCACCTGACTGGAATTATAAGAAATTGTAAAGGCATTAACAAAATGTTCACAGCTATTAAACATCCCAAAACATTTTACTGTCAATGAAGTACAACTGACATGTAGTCAATGTTGTAACGTTGGAAACCCAACACCAATTTACACCCAGCAATCCCACTCAAATGTGATGGGTTTTTGTAGGGATACATATAGACCAGGACACTGAATAAAAAATGAGAGGAGGTCAAAGGCAGACCTTTAAGGGATACCAAAATTAATGATTCAGAATTAGGGAACCATAGCTGGGACACTCTGGTTATGATTAAACAGACAAGAAGAATGAGGGGAGAGCTGTTCCACCCTGCTGTGGTAAGGCTTTGGTGGAGGATGGATTGGTCAAACACTACAGACAGACTGAAAAGGACAAGGAGGTAAGGTTTACTATGTCACAGTCAGAGAGGACACAGTTTGTGACTTTAATCAGAGAGGTGCCGAGGAGGGGTGAAAGCTGCATGCAGAAATAGGCCATTTGGCCCCATTGAACTACCCTCATTATTCATTCAAACATCGCCAATCTGTTCATTCCAAAATATCACCTACCCACAATAATCTTTCACTCCTTTGCTCATCAACAATTTATCTACCTCCACCTTAAAATATTCAAAAACTCTGCTTCTACTTTTTCAGGAGGAGAGTTCCAAAGACTCACGAACCTCTGAGATCTCTATGTTTAATGGGCAACCCCTTACTTTTAAAACAGTGACCCCTAGCTCTAGTTTCTCCCATAAGCAAAAACATTCTTTTTACATATATCCTGTCAAGACCCCTCATAATCTTATTAGTTTTATTCAAATTTTCTCTTACACTTCTAAACTTCACACGTACAAGCCTAGCTGATCCAACTTTTCCTCACAAATTCCATGCATTAGTCAAGTAAACGTTCGACTTCTATTTACATCCTTACTGAAAAAAGGAGATGATTATACACGTAACTCCAGATGTAGTCTCCCCAGTGCTCGCTAACTGAAGCATAACCTTCCAACTTCTGTATGTAATCCCGTCCCAATAAATGCTTTCCTGGTTACTTTCTATACCTGCATAAGCATTTGCTACACTTGCATGAGAGCACTCATATCCCTCTGCATCTCTCAGCTCTGCATCTTTCACTATTTAGAAAACTTTTTAAATCATTCTTCCTGCCAAAGTGGACAATTTTGCATTTTCCCACATTATACATCTTTCTTTTAAAGCCCTAGGATTAAGTCAATCAGGGTTTGGGACTTGTAATTCTGCAGTGCCTTGCCTTTTGCGTAGTTGAAGTGCTGCTTGTTTTGCAAGCTCAAGGGGTGGGTGGTGGGAAAACAGCTCCTCCGCTTTGATGATCAGTGTCTCGTAAGGAAGGTCCTGCGGTATCTTGGACAATAATTGATGGACGCTGGCCATGTCACAGTCACATTTTAGTACTTCTTCCTCCCTGTGCAGTACAATCTGAAACAAGGCAGTCAAGTCAGTCGTCTTCATGGCTTTGTTTTCATAATCATTCTTTAGCTGAAAGGTAACCCTGACAGATTTAATTTCCAAATATCCAAATCACTCTTTTTGTCCCTCAACTTCCCCATTTGTTCTTGGGATGTGGGTGATGCCAGTAAGGTCATGTTTAGTGCTTATTGAGGAAGATGGTGGTGGACTTTCTTGTGTAACTATTGGTTATACAATGCTATACCACTGTAGCAATGTTAAGCATCAATCATGTTAAGTGGAACTGAAGTCACATATAGGCCAGACCAGGTAAAGGTGCCAGGTTCATTTTCACGAAAGTTCTGAGTGAACCAGCTAGATTTTCATGCCAATCAGCTGATTTGAATTCATGACCCCAGGTTTGCTAATTGAGTACCACACTCACTGCGGATGCTGCACCACTCTTCCTGCTCTTATATTCAAGGTTGCAGCATGGAAACAGGCCATTTGGCCCAACGAGTTTGTGTTGTATTTTATCCTCTTCACAAGCCACGAGTAAAGACAATCCTGAAGCCGTACACTTGTACAAAAATACTTGACCAAATGATAATTATTCTTTGGAACCAGACAGGGGGAATTAAAGTCAAGACCAATTCTGTTCATATACAGCATTCACTTTGTTGCAGGAACTATGTTAGTTGCGATGCTTATCGCATCGCAGTAGATTAGAAATCATTTAGTTTCTATATATTTTGTTAAAGTGTCTTCTTATTGTTAAAAATTAAACTTAGCATGAATGCTTTAGTCCTGAAAGCAGTTAGTCAGGCAAATTCATCATTTTGGTGGTCTCCTTGGGATTTTATACATTTTATGGTGGCTTGTGAAACAGTGGGACACAGTTATCTGTACATTCTTTCCAGTTAAGTTGTGACATAATAAAGATGATACCAGATATTACACAATCATCAAGGACTTAAAAGAAGTCTTTAAGATTGAAGACAACAAGGTGCAGAGCTGGATGAACACAGCAGGCTAAGCAGCATCATAGGAGCAGAAAGGTTGACGTTTCGGGCCTAGACCCTTCATCAGAAATGGGGGAGGGGAATGGGGTTCTGAAATAAATAGGGAGAGAGGGGGAGGTGGATATAAGATGGATAGAAGAGAAGATAGGTGGAGAGGAAACAGACAGGTCGAAGAGGCGGGGATGGAGCCAGTAAACGTGAGTGTAGGTGGGGAGTGAGGGAGGGGATAGGTCAGTCCAGGGTGGACGGACAGGTCAAGGGGGCGGGATGAGGTTAGTAGGTAGGAGATGGGGGTGCGGCTTGAAGTGGGAGGAGGGGATAGGTGGGAGGAAGAACAGATTAGGGAGGCGGGGACGAGCTGGGCTGGTTTTGGGATGCGGTAGGGGCAGGGGAGATTTTGAAGCTTGTGAAATCCACAATGATACCATTGGGCTGCAGGGTTCCCAAGCGGAATGAGTTGCTGTTCCAACAGACAGGTCGAAGAGGCGGGGATGGAGCCAGTAAAGGTGAGTGTAGGATGCCACCCGAAGGTTGCAGGAACAGCAGCTCATATTCCGCTTGGGAACCCTGCAGCCCAATGGTATCAATGTGGATCTCACAAGCTTCAAAATCTCCCTTCCCCCTACCGCATCCCAAAACCAGCCCAGCTCGTCCCCGCCTCCCTAACCTGTTCTTCCTCCCACCTATCCCCTCCTCCCACCTCAAGCCTCACCCCCATCTCCTACCTACTAACCTCATCCCGCCCCCTTGACCTGTCCGTCCTCCCTGGACTGACCTATCCCCTCCCTAACTCCCCACCTACACTCACCTTTACTGGCTCCATCCCCGCCTCTTTGACCTGTCTGTTTCCTCTCCACCTATCTTCTCCTCTATCCATCTTCTATCCGCCTCCCCCTCTTTCCCTATTTATTTCAGAACCCCCTTCCCCTCCCCCATTTCTGACGAAGGGTCTAAGCCCAAAACGTCAGCCTTTCTGCTCCTATGATGCTGCTTGGCCTGCTGTGTTCATCCAGCTCTGCACCTTGTTGTCTCGGAGTCTCCAGCATCTGCAGTTCCTGCTATTTCTTTAAGATTGGAAAAAGGTTTGATGAAGCCCAGAGCTGGGGGAAGTCACCTAGAAGTCCAATTGGAGATTCAGGAGAAATATTTTTACTAAGACATTGATTAGGCTGTGGAACTTGTTACACCATGGATTAGTTGAGATAAATTGTATCAATTTATTTAAGATGATGGTTATGCAAGTACAGGCAGAAAGAAACAATAGTATCCTCTCCTGATGGGATCACATGAAGACAGGTAGGAGGAAGCTTGCATAGAGCATAAACTCTGGCATCGACTAACTGGTCTGTTTCTGTCTATAAATTCAATGTGGTTCCAACGAATCATTGAGAACAAGGGACAGTGAAGTACCGGAGTAGGTGTTTAGGAAGAGAAGTGGGCATATAACGCTACATACCGCTGCCGCAACGTAGACAGGCATCAATGGGTGACTTGCCAGAAAGAAGTCGTAGAGCCTGACAGTATGGCGAAACTTGGAGAGGACGTGACCATACCAGGTGATCAGCCAGCTCAGGGCAAAGATGGTGCCAACCTCAGCCCTAAATCAGAGGCACAAGACAGATTCAGCCAAAGCAATTATTTTCATTCAAAGCAACAAAATAGAATTAAATTTCTATAGCGCTTTTCACATTCTCACTTTTCAGCTATAGTCACTCTTGCCATCAAAATAAATGTGGCAGCCAATTGTAACATTGCCAGGTCCTGGAAACTGAATCAGGTAACTGAGCAGTGAGTTTGCCTTAGTGCATTTGGTCAAGGGATCAGTGGTGACCAGGACACACATCTTTGAATGATTTCATGGGATATCTTTTGCACTTCCACAAACTGATATGTCTCGGTTTAGTGCCTCATCTGTATTGATCAGCTCAAGTCTCCGGAGTGGGGCTTTATCCCTCAGGCCAAGATGATTTATTCAAACATTAGCACCTCTTAAAAGTGTTGTTACTCCGATAATTCAGCGATGAAACATTCTTTGGAAAGAAAGGAAATTTCACAAGTGAATAAAATTAGAAACTTAGTAGCACCCTTCTCAAGCAATGTCAGGTCGTTTAGAAACACAGAGAAAGGGAACAAATGGTGGAATAGATTCCGGTAACATTACATTTTAGTAACAGTAATTGTGGAGAGTGGGGTAATGTGGAAAGTGATAGATGGCCTGTACAGTCAAAGAATCAAAAGCTGGTAAAATACAGGGGAGATAGGGTTTCTTACTTGAATCACAGGGATGATTCAGGTTCTAAGTGGGTGCTTACGAGAGATCCATCAGTTCAAAACAGATTTTTAATCTACTTGTTCAGACATGTTATGACACAGTCCTGAAGTAGGTGGTTCTTGAACCTGAGCCTCCTGGTTCAGAGATAGGGACACTACCACTAGACGTCAAGAGCCCTAGAATTTAAATATATTACTCCAATAAGGTGGAATAAACTTACTGCTTTGCCTGAAACAGCTGGTATGCTCAACGCATCCTAGGTAGTAATATTACAATTCTACAAGAAATGGTTAATATCATTGGCATGTGTCCAAGATAACTACACTAAGCAGCGGAAACTTTATCTCAGTCAAATGTATCCTGTTCAACATTTTTTTTTTTTTTAAAAATCCAACTTGATATTCACATATGCTCACCAATGTGGCTGTATACCCTCCTGACCACGGGAACACAGAAGCTGATTGAGTGCATTCACTGCTGATCAGACGGTGGAGATCCACCTACGCAGAAAAGGCAATGTTCAGAACCTCTGCCCTTCCCATGTACAAGACCAGGTAGTATATTTACCGCTGAGCCCTTAGGGAGAGCTGAGCAAATGTTTCTAAACACAATTTATTACTAGGAGTATTGTGTCCAGTTCTGGTCACCTCATTACAGGAAAGATGTGGAGGCGTTGGAAAAGGTGCAGAGGAGATTGACCAGGATGTTGCCTGGAATGGAGGGAAGGTCTTATGAGGAAAGGTTGAGAGAGCTAGGGCTTTTCTCTTTAGAACGATGAAGGATGAGAGGTGACTTGAATGAGGTGTACAAAATGATCAGAAGTATAGATAGAGTGGACAGCCAGAGAGTTTTTCCTAGGGTGGAGGTAGCTATTACGAGGGGGCATAGTTTTAAAGTGAGTGGAGGTAGATACAGGGGAGACGTCAGAGGTAGGTTCTTTACTCAGAGTGTGGTCGGGGCATGGAATGCATTGCTGGAGAGGGTAATGGAGTAGGCCTCATTAGGGGCATTTAAACAGCTATTAGATAGGCATATGGGTGATAGGATTACGGTAAAAGTTCGGCACAACATCGTGGGCCGAAGGGCCTGTACTGAGCTGTGCTGTTCTGTTCTATGTTCTATGTTCTATGTTCTATAAACTTGTCCAGTAGCTATACTGTCCAAGTTATCAAAGTCATTTTTGCACTTTGCAGTGATTCAGTTCATGGTAGATTACCTGCATTACAACTAATGCTCCAAAGTAATTAATTTCTTATAAAACAATTTAGAGTATCTTGAGGTTGTGGAGAAATGCATCTATCTTCTGTGAACACCTGATTCAACTATTTCAACACTAGCTGACCCCTTATCCTTCACGTAGCCAGCACCAAACTAAAAATCTGCCCAATTCCTATTTGCACAGCAAGCCTTGTAGACTCTTCACCCAGTACTTATTAATCTATACTAACTTCCTGTTTCCCAACACGTATCTAAAATTCTATTTTTTGTCTTTAAATCCCCCATAGCCTTTCACCCTCATCACTAAATCATTTCTAGCACAATCAATGTTCCCCACGCACTGATTCAAATTCTTAAAACCTCCTAGGACAGATAATGAGCAGGTCATCCATTTTTATCATATTGTTTGATGGCTAACCATTGTCCAGAAAACTGGGAGGATTCCCTACTGCACCTCTTCAGATCAGTACTGTGGAATATTTTATCTTTATATAGGAGACAGTACAGGATGTGGCTGTTAATGGCAAAGCCAGCATTTCTTGGCTCTCCCTAACTGACAATAAACTTAGTGATTTGCTAAACTATTTTGAGGACAATTAAGAGTCAACCACATTGGGTCTGGAGTCACATGTAGACCAGACTGGGTTTGGATTCAGATTTCAAATTTCAAATTTCTTTCCCCGAAAAGGACAGGAGTGAACCATCTGGCAGTCTTCGCAGTTACTTGGTCACCATTAGGCTAGATTGCAGATTTTCTATTGAATTCAAATTTCACCATCTGCCTTGGAAGGATTTGAACCCTTGTCCTCCGATCCTTTTTCTAGGGTTCTGGATTACCGGGCCTTTTCTTAAGTCACTCATGGGACATAGGCATCACTGGCTGGCCAGCATTTATTGCCCCTTCCTAGTTGCCCTTGAGAAGGTGGTGGTGAGCTGCCTTCTTGAATCACTACAGTCTACAATTTATGTTGGCCCACAATGCCATTAGGGAGGGAATTCCAGGATTTTCACCCAGTGACATTGTTGGAACCGTGATATATTTCCAAGTCAGGATGGTGAGTGGCTTGGAGGAGAACTTGCAAGTGGTGGTCCCATGTATTTGCTGCTCTGGTCCTTCCAGTTGGAAGCACTTGTGGGTTTGGAAGGTGCTATCTGAAGATCTTTGATGAATTTCAGCAGTGCATCTTGCAAATAGTACACACTGCTGCTGCTGCTGAGCATTTGTGGTGGAGAGAATGAATGCCGTGGATAGGCTGTCAATCTTCTTGAATGTTACTGGAGCTAGTGGGGTATATTCCAGCACACTCCTGATTTGTGCCTTGTAGATGGACAGGCTTTGGAGAGTCTGGAGAGGAGGAACTAGGCACAGTATTCCCAGTTTCTGACCGGCTTTCGTAGCCACTGTGGCTAGTCCAGTTGCGTTTCTGGTCAATGGTGACCTCAAAGATGTTGACAATGATGGTAACACCACTGAATGTCAACTGGTAGTGTTATATTGTTCTGAAGAAGGGTCACGGGACCCGAAACATTAACCGATTTCTCTTCACAGATGCTGCCAGACCTGTTGAGCTTTTCCAGCAACTTCTGGTTTTGTTCCTGATTTACAGCATCCACAGTTCTTTCGGTTGTTACATTGCAGCCAATAACTACCTTCAATAAAGGAACAATCCAACCCTGATCCCTGCTGCTGTGAGGAAGCAGTACTAACCACTGAGCCACTGTGCTGCCCTTGTTTTATGATGATTGAAAGTAGACAGATGGAGTGGTAAGTGGTCAAGTTGGATTTGTCCTGCTGTGTGTGTACAGGATATACCCAGGCAATTTTCCATATTGTTGGGTAGATGTCAGTTTCGTAAATGCACTGGAACAGTTTAGCTAGAGGTGTGGCATGTTCTGGCAATGGTACTGAACACTTGTGCTCCAGAATGTTGTCAGGCCCTAGCCTTTGCAGTATCCAGTGCCTCCAACCCGTTTCTTGATATCATATGGAGTGAATCAAATTGGCTGAAGACTGGGGGTCTTTGTGATGCTGGGGACCACTGGAAGAGGCTGAGATGGATCATTCACTTAGCACTTCTGGTTGAAGACTGCTGCAAATGCATCAGCCTTATTTTTTGCATTGATGTGCTGAGCTGTTCCATTATTAAGGATGGCGATAATTGCGGAGCCTTCTCCTCCAGTGTACTGTTTAATTATCCACCACCATTCATAACTGTAGCAGGACTGCAGAGCTTGGATATGATCCGTTGGTTGTGGGATTGCAGAGCTCTGTCTATCACTTGCTGTTTATGCTGTTTCACATGTAAGTAGTCCTATTTGGAAGCTGTAGCAGATTGACAGCTCATCTGTAGGTATGCCTGGTCCTACTCCAGGCATGCCCTCCTGTACTCTCCAATGAGCCAGGGTTGATCCTCTGGCTTTGATGGTAATGGTTGAGTAGGGGATATGCTAGGCTACGAGACTACAGATTATGCTGGAGTATAATTCTGGTGTTGATGGCCCACGGGGCCTCATGAATGCCCTGTCTTCAGTTGCTAGATCTGTTCTAAGTCTGTCCCATTGAGGACAGTGATAGTGCCATACAACACGATGGACGGTATTCTCAATGTGAAGGCAGAACTGTGCGGTGGCCTCTTTTACCAACACCGTCATGGATAGATGCATTGCAACCCAGGGCAACTCCTCCTGTCTGTATACCACTGTACCACCACCTCTGCTGCCAGTGGAACAGGACACGTCCTGGGATGGTGATGTTGGTGTCTGGGATATTATCATACTCTCAGAATCGTATCGACAGATAGTGTCAGGCTGTTACTGAACTAGTCTGTGAAACAGCTCTCACAGTTCTTGCACTAGCCCACAGATGTTGGTAAGGAGGACTTTGCAGGGTCAACAGGGCTGTTCGGTTGTTTTTTCTGGTGCCTAGGTCGATGCCAGGTGGTCCATCTGATTTCATTTCTTTGTTGAGAATCCATAGCAAGCCACACAGTTACATCATTTGCTAAGTCATTTCAAAGGGCAGTTGGCAGTCAACAACATTGCTGTGTTTCTGGAGCCACATATATGCCAGATGGGTCTTTTCGATAATCTATAATTCACACTCATTGGTAGATTCTTAATTACAGATTAGTTTTCTTTTTAAAAACGGGATTTAAATTCCACCATGTGCCATTGCGGGATTTCAACTCAGATCCTCAGAACATTAGCTGAATTTCCTGGATTTACCAGTATACCACTAGGCCATCACTTCCTTAAGATACAAACACTACACCACCAACTCTCCTTATCTCATCAGGAAGATGGCACCACCCACCAAGCAGCAATCCCTAAGCACTGCATTAGAGTGTCAGCCTTGAACTTTGTGCTCAACTCCACAACTTTCTGATTAGAAGTGAGCTCACACTCTGAAGGCCACCTCTTTCCCAAATCTTTTGTGACCCCACCCTATGATGCCGCCTTTAGTTTGGCATTTTCCTCTCTCCCTTATTACGTTGCTCTAGGAAATTTTTCCAAGATTTTCTATGTTAAAAATGTGACAAATAGGGTTATAGAGCTGTAGTACTGAGTATCCACACAGGAGGCCAGTAGCGAGGCATTGAATTGCTAAGGCAGATTAACCAGTTTAATTGTTTCTACTTGATATATGGCCCCTGAACCTTTGCCTATTGAGTCACTGTGGAGAATTAGTATTAGGAAACTATTTAACTATATGTAGCATCACCACCACCAATTTAGAGTTTTATTTTCACCCAACATTCAGTTGCTGCAGTGTCAATGATTGACTGATTGTTGTCACAATGTTTCAAAATATACTGAAAAGTGTTGTTGGGTGCTGTACAGGCAGATTGTGCCGTACAAAGTGCAAGAGTAGCAGAACAGAATGACGAATACAGTGTTACAGCCACAGAGAAGGTGTAGAGAGAGGGATCAGAATTAACATTTGAAAGGTCCATTCAAAAGTCTGATAACAGCAGGGAAGAACTTGTTCTTGAATCAATTTATATATGCATTTAAGCTTTTATATCTTCTGCCCAACAGAAGAGAGCATTACCGGGATGAAAGGGGTCTTTGGTTAATGTTGGCTGTTTTCCCAAGGCAGCAGGTAGTATAGATGGGGGTCAATGGATGGAAGGTTGGTTTGTGTGATGGACTGGGCTGTGTTCACAACAATCTGCAGTTTCCTGCAACCTTGAAAAGAGCAGTTTTGATACCACGTTTTGATGCATCCAGATAGGATGCTTTCTATGGTGCATCTATAATTATTTTTTCTATATTCATTCACGGGATGAGGGTGTCACTGGCCAGACAGCATTTATTGCCCATCCCTAATTGTCCAGAGGGCAGTTGAGAGTCAACCACATTGCTGTGGGCCTGGAGTCACGTGTAGGCCTGGAGTCACGTGTAGGCCAGACCAGATAAGGATGGCAGTTTCCTTCCCTAAAGTGAACCAGATGGGTTTTTCTGACAATCAATAATGGATTCATGGTCATCATTAGTATTTTATTGAATTGAAATTCCACCATCTGCCGTGGCGGCACTCAAACCTGGGTCCCCAGAACATTATCTGGGTCTCTGGATTAATAGTCCAGCGATAATACCACTAGGCCATTGCCTCCCCTGAAACTGGTAAGAGTTCTTGTGGACATATCTAATTTCCTAGCCTCCTGAGGAAATAGAGACTCTGTCATGCTTTTTTGACTATCACATCAACATAAGTGAGCCAGGACAGTTTATTGGTGATCATTACTCCCAGGAACCTGATGCTGTAGACCATCTACACCTCAGCACCATTGCAATCTGCTGCCTTAATTTCCATCTCGTCATTGTTTGAGATCTGATCTATAACAGAGCTGTCATCAGCAAACTTGTAAGTGGAGTTGGGGCAGAATTTGACCGCACAATGGAGTATAAGGAGTATAGTAGGGGGCTGGGTACACAGTCTTGTGGGGCACCGGCGTAAAGGGATATGGTGGAGGAAGTGCTGTTGTCTATTCTTACTGATTGCGGTCTATGGGTCAGAAAGTCGAGGATCCAGTTAGTTACGGGGGGCGGGAAGACGAGACCTAGATCATTGAGTTTAGAGATGATTTGTTTGGAATTATGCTGTTGAAGGTGGAACCGTAGTCAATCAGTAGGAACCAGATGGAGATATCCTGTTTATCCAGCTGTTCCAGGGATGAACTTAGGGCTCAGGAGATAGCGTCTGCTGTGGACACGTAGGAGAATTGCAAAGGCAATCCAGGAGGCTAGAGTTGACGTGAGCCACGATTAACATCTTGAAGCACTTCATAATTTAGGTCAGCGCCATCAGACAGTAGTCACTGAGAAACATGGCATGATTTTTCTTTGGCACCAGGATGATGGCAGTCTTCTTGAAGTGATTTTGGACATCAGCTCATAGTAAGGAGAGGACAATAAGAAGGACTGGGGACCTGGGGTAAATATTTCTTTTCTGGTTCAGGTGAACAGCTAGCTCAGTTATCTGCGCTGCTGATTGGCGATGCCCACCAGATTTCAGTGGCATCGTAATCAACCCTAATTCAGTCTCTGCTCAAAAATGAGTATTTCCAGAGGAGTTACTCACTAACAGCAACCAGAGCATCTGACTGAGATGGCAACAAGGCTAACTATGCCATTCGTAATGTCCAGGAATCTTTGGAGTCATGGCCTGCAGGGCCCAACAGTGAACATTTCAGTGGGGGAGGGAAACACAATCAGTAAGGCCATTAAAGGCAGCAAACAAAAACAGAAGACTCACCTCTGTATAAAGTCATGGAGCTGTGGGTTCACCCGCTGCAGAATTGGCATTAGGTAGTTTAGAATGTGTTTCGTGCTGTCCATTGTGGGATCCATAAAATCCCTGTGGGAGTACCAAAGCAAAAGACAGGGTTACCCTTTATTTCACTCAATACCACAAAGCACACAATGCAGGCCTGCAACCACCACTCATTCTGTTACTGGTTTATTCTCTACCTAAGGCATCACACTGAAACTTTATCCCCAATTTACCCATCTACACACATTTTGGCATGTCCAGTTTCTCTCGCAGCTTCCAATAAGAACACAAGAGTTAGGAGCAGGAGCAAGCCAGTCATCTCCTCAAGCCTGCCCTGCCATCATGGCTGATCGTCCAGAGGCCCCAACTCCCGTTTTCTGCCAGCTCCTCATAGCCATCCGCTTCCCAACATTTAAGAAAAAAATCTTCCTCCTCTTTAAATATGTGCAGTGATACAGCCTCCATAACTCTCTGGGGTAGAGAATTCCAGACATTCACTACCTTCTTGGAGAAGTTCTTCACATCTCACCTTTTAAATGAGTGTCCCCTTATTCAGTAACTATGTCGCCTAGTTTGAGGTTCACCCGCTCCACCCTGTCAAGCCCCTTCAGTATCCTTTATGGTTGCTGCTACTTAGGGTGACCTTCACTCTAAGGTTATTAATTAATCAATCCTCTCCCATTACACAATTCCAGGCCTCATATAGCCTGCTCCCTGGTCAGCTCCAGAACACAAGAAGCTATCCTGAACACATTCTATGAACTCATCCAGGCTACCTTTGTTCATCTTACTTTCCCATCAACATAGCACAGTACAGCACAGTAAGTACAGGCCCTTCGGCCCATGATGTTGTGCCAACCTATTATCCTACTAAGATCAAATTACCCTGCATACCCTACATTCTACAATCCTCCGTGCGCCTATCCAAGAGTCGCTTAAAAGTCTCTAAAGTATCTGACTCCACTACCACTGCTGGCAGCGCATTCCACACACCCACCACTGTGTAAAGAACCTACCTCTGACATCTCCCCTGTACCTTTCTCCAATCACCTTAAAATTACGTCCCCTCGTAATAGTCATTTCCGTTCTGGGAAAAAGTCTCTGACTATCCACTCTCTGTGCCTCTCATCATCTTGTACACCTCTATCAAGTCACCTCTCGTCCTTCTTTGCTCCAATGAAAAAAGTCCTAGCTCCCTCAACCTTTCCTCATAAGACCTGCCCTCCAGTCCAGGCAGCTTCCTGGTAAATCTCCAATGAAAACCAACACACCATATGCCTTCTTTACAACCCTATCAACTTGGGTAGCAAATTTGAGGGATCTATGGACATAGACCCCAAGATCCCTCTGTTCCTCCACACTGCCGAGAATCCTGCCATTAACCCTGTATTCTGCATTCAAATTCGACCTTCCAAAATGAATCACTTCACACTTTTCTGGGTTGAATTCAATCTGCCACTTCTTTGCCCAGCTCTGCATCCTGTCAATGTCCCACTGCAACCTACAACAGCCCTCTATGCTGTCCACAATTCCACCAACTTTCATGTCATCAGCAAACTTACTAACCCGCCCTTCTACTTCTCCATCCAAGTCATTTATAAAAGATCACAAAGAGCAGAGGTCCCAGAACAGATCCCTGAGGCACACCACTGGTCACCGAGCTCCAGCCTGAGTATTTTCCATCTACTACCACCCTCTGTCTTCTACTGGACAGCCAGTTTTGAATGCAGACGGCCAAATTTCCCCGAATCCCATGCTTCCTTTATTTCTGAATGAGCCTACCATGGGGAACCTTATCAAATGCCTTGCTAAAATCCATTTACACCACATCCACTGCTCTGCCTTTATCAATGTATTTGTCACATCCTCAAAAGAATTCAATAAGGCTTGTGAGGCATGACCTACCCCTCACAAAGCTATGCTGACTATTTCTAATCAAACAGTGCTTTTCCAACTAATCATAAATACTCTCTCTCAGAATCCTCTCCAATAATTTGCCCACCACAGAAGAAAGACTGACTGGTCTGTAATTCCCAGGATTATGTCTATTCCCTTTCTTGAACAAGGGTATGACATTTGCCACCCTGCAGATAAAAATCTCTGACTATTATTACTGAGCCTTTCTGACAAGCTAATTATTCTTTCTTTATGGCCACCCCACTGCGTGGCTGCTGTTAGGGGGGCTGGACACCACTCTCAAGTGACTTCATTTCTACCCAAACTGTTCCACATCATGTTTTCCTGAACCTAAGTCACCCTCTCTATTGTGCAAATATCATTAACTAACAAAGCCACCCCTCCATCTTTTCTTACTTTCCTGTCATTTTTAAATGTCCTGTCATCTTCAAGATTCAGGTCCTCATTCAAATTTTCCAACAGCAATATCTCTGCAATGGTTAGCTTATTTTCCCCTGCATCCCTTAATCCCTCAACCGGACCAGATCTCAAATCTGTTGGACAACTGCAAAGGCTACAGTTTCTGCACCCCTGCTCTCTGGATCCCCTTACCTGCCTCAAGGCATGCCACATTCTCCTGTCCTTGAACACTAACAAATCAGATGACCCAACCCTAAGAGGTGTGACCACCTGTCACGATAGCCCTGATACTCGGGAAATTGCACGTTCTTCTGTAAGACATAGGAGAATGACGTTGATCAGTTGCTCCCATAGAACTCCATATTCCTCTGGAAGCATGCCAGATATTAAAAATAAATTGCTTATATATGGTTCACACTGATGCCATTGTTCACTGTGCTGAATTTTGAAGGTGGTAGACAAGGTCCCAATCAAGTGGGCTGCTTTTACATGGATGATGTCAAGGTTAAGACTGCATACAATTGTTGAGTATTTTTATTTTGTACAATTCTGATTTAGTTTGTTGTTGGCATTAAACTGAAGTCTGCAGTTTAAATTCTGTAATTGCAAGTATGAAGGGGTTACTGACATTTGACTGATATAGATGGGGCTCAGTATGCACTGCTAACCATGATTAGTTCTTCACCTGAGATGATGGGAAGACAGTATGTCCATGAGTGCAATGGCCATCCTTTCACCGACAACCAGGAGGAACGTCACGACAATGTCATGATAGCCCTGATAATAGTGAAGCTGTATGTTCCTCTGTAAGACATATAGGATGACGTTGATCAGTTGCTCCTGCAGAACTCCACGTTCCTCTGGACTCATGCCTGATATTAAAAATTTATTTTCAATCAATTTGAAATAAGAAACCAATATACATCTTTGTTTCAATTCAGTTCTCAACAGGAGAGTTTGTCTTCATTACAAAAGTTACAATCTAAAACAGGCCAAGTAATCACCAATGTCAACTCATTGACACATGATAGACATGTAAACCCAGAATGTGAGATCTAACATTCTAAACTTTCACAATTATTGCAGAACAGGAACCTACTGACTTCCCTGTCTTTTCCCCCTCAAGTGAATCTCAATACAGTTGGCTCTGCTATAATGCGTGTTCCGTCAATGCGATTTGGCTGCAACACAATTGCTGGATAGGGGAATGCTATTTCTAAAACATGAACTTGTGTTGGCTATAATGCAATTCCATCGCGGAGGAGTACATGTTGACATCACACGATTGTTTCATGGGCTTTTGTTGTGAATACGTACGTTAGCGCCAAAACAGTCTCCACACCGGCATCACGTGATCATTTCGCAGGCTTTGTCATGAGTGCTTTCTGAGAGGTACAGTACAACCTCCGCCCCCATCAGGTCACCTTGACATTTTTTTTCAAGGTAAAGTGTTAAAATTTACTTTTACTTCATTATTGGATAGGAATTAAACATTTATTCAAAATCGTGCTATCCTTGGTGTTAAGGCTTTTGGGTGATTTTTTTTGGTGGTCTACCCCAACTGCACTTTCCTCATAAGCCCTGTTATTTCCATACGATGATTTTCTATAACGTGATGTTGCATAGGAACGTAACTATCGCGTTAGAGCAGAACCAACTATAGACTAAATACTCTCTGCCCTTCCCCTTCGACGGAAACCCAATAGACTAAATATTTTCCCCATATTTTGCACTCAGCTGAATTTCATTACAGAGTCAGTGTGCTTACCTTGTGGAAACCTGCGTAGTGACCGTTGTACATCCATAAGCACCTGGTTGTAGTCTTTGTGGCCTTCCCTTATGTCCTTGCCTTAGAAGACAAGTGTACGTCAGATTAGGGCACACTGCATTTTACTTCAAATATAAAGCTGGAGTTTTCTTCCCAATACATGCAACACTGTGGTATGTGTGCGTGCGCATGCGGTTGGTGGGGGGTGGTGGTTGGAAAGGAAAAGTTGTCTCATCACAACATGTTCAGCGACCATCACTCATGGTGTGACAAGCTAGTTCATCAATATCAGGTTTCACTCTACCAAACATGTCACAACATATTCGTGACCCACTAATATGTCTGTGCCAGTATGCAGTGCTGTCTATTCAGGGCAGCCTCCAATGCTGGCTTCTTTACCCTCACTAATTTTGGAACTTACTAAGTCATTTTAATAGCAGAGATGGGGAGGTACACAAGGAGGAATGAGAGATACAGGAACTGCTTCTGCTGGAACAGAGAAGGCAAAGTGGTACTTGGAGAGATTTTCCAAATAATAACAGGATTTGATAATGTGATAAAGAATTGACATAATTAAAGGTTGTGGTGTCAGTGATCATCATTTTAAAATTTTTACTGTGAGTGAACAGAAGGGAAAGGCTTGTATTCCTTTAAGTATCAAAGATTATGGTGTGATCTAATTGAAATGTTTAAGATGATTCAAGGAGTTAGCAAAGAGAGGGAGAAGAACTATTTCCTCTGGTGGTTGTATCTTGAATAATGGGGTAGAACATTTCAGCCAGAAGGTTCAGGGGTGATGTCAGGAAGCACTTTCTTTCCACCACATGAAGGAGAGCAGAAAGCTGTAAATCTCTCATGATGCAGGAGATCGATTGATATCTGTCACTATCTTTTTGAAGTTTTTATTTGGATAAGGATTATAGGACCAAAGAAGGTAAATGGAGTCAAGTTACAGATCAGCCATGATTTGACTGATTGACAGAACAGTCCATCACTCAACTTGAACAAAAGAAATTCAAACACAACATGGAACATAGGGTAGGTACTGGATCAGGTAAATTGATTGAACAGCTACAGCCGAAGCTTTCCTATAAAGGACAAAATCCAGGGAGCAGTTATGCTCACTCCCACCATACCTGGTTTTGGAGGTAGGTTATAAGCATTTACATTCAGCAGCTTTGGCCAGACCTTCCTGCGGATGTCATCGGTCAGGAGCCCACCCTCGCTAATGGCGGATTGCCGGAGAGTTTCCACATCCACTGGGTCAACATTCAGAGCCTGATGGATAGCTACTAATTTCTTCTTTTTCTTCGATTCAGGTTCTGTTGAGTGAAGAATGTGGTTAATTCTCAGTGCAGAATGGGTCACTAGAATCTTAGCAAAGCACAATTTTTGGTTTGTGAAATCCTTACACTGTGCCCATTTTAACGCAGGAAATGCACGTGCAGATTCTTCCAAATTTCAGCTTGTCTGGACTATGTAGTTACAGCTGTTTAACTCAGTGAGATCTGAGTCAGCAGAGCTGTGAATTCAGTTTCAGCTGGAGTATATAATACAGGACGACAGTTCAATGCAATGCCAAGAAAGATATCAGCATGAGACACATGGCATCTTTTGGATGAAAATGTAAGCAGAGGCCCCATCTGTCCTCTCATGGTCCCACAATGCTGTTCAAAAAAGCAGTGGAGTTTGCACAATGGCCTGAGCTATACGATAAGTCCTAGGCTTAAGTACTTCATTCTTGATGAGCAAGGGGGTGAAAAGTTATTGGGGGTGGGTGGAGAAAGATTATGTAGAAATCAGAAGAAAGTAGTTTATCAGAATAAATTCCTCCTCATCTGAGTCTTAAATTGGCACCCTTTTACTCTGAGACTATGCCCTCTGGTACTAGGCTCTCCCATGAGAGGAAACATCCTCTCAGCATTGACCCTGTCAAACCCCTTAAGAAATAGATATGTTTCAATGAGATCATCTCTCATTCTTCTAAACTCCAACAAGTAGAGTCCCAATCTGTTTAATCTTTGCTCACAAGACAATCCCTCCATACCAGAGATAATCCTTGTGAATCTTCTCTGAATGGCCAACATTCCATTAGTCTTTGATTCCTTGCTGCATCTGGGTGCTAGCTTTGTGTTTCATGTACCCCAAGTCCTTTTGTGTTGCAGATTTCTGAAGTATTTTCCCATTTAAACAGTAATCTGTTCTCTCTTCCAAAATAAACAATTTCTCCTAATTCACTTGATCATTCATTTATAAATTGCCCACTTAAAGTAGACAAGTCCCCAGAACCTGAAGGTGGTGGCTGAGGAAATTGCTGGGGGCTTTGTACATGTCACAGAGGAATGGAGAATAGCCAACATCGTTCCTTTGTTTAAAAAGGGCAAAGAGGTAACATCGGAAATTATTGGCCAGTGAGCCTTGTGTCAGTGGAAGGGAAAATACTGGAGAAGATTCTTAGGGATAGGACTTACTCACATTTGGAAAAGTATGGACTTATTAGCAATAGACAGCATGCCTTTGTGCCGAGAAGATCGTGTCTTACAAATTTGATTTAGTTTTTGGAGCAAGTGACAAAGATGATCGAGGGCAGGGCGATAGATGTTGTCTATGTGAACTTTAGCAAGGTCTTTGATGTCTCTCATGGCAGGCTGATCCAAAACGATGAAGCCACATGGGATGCATAGTGAGCTGGTAAAATGGACACAGAACTGACTTTCCTCACAGAAGACAGAGCACAGCGGTGGAAGGGTGTTTTTCTGACTGGACACTGGACAGTGGTGTTCCAGTGATCAATGCTAGAACCCCTGTTGGTTGTAATATATAGAAATGATTTGGAGAGTGTGTAGGTGGCCTGATTAGTACGTTTGCAGACTACACAACAATTGGAGAAGCCATGGATTTGAGGAGGATTGCCAGAGGATACAGCAGAATATAGACAGGCTACAGACTTAGGCAGAGAAATGGTAGATGGAGTTTAATCCTGACGAATGTGAAGTCATGCATTTTCGAAGATCTAATGCAGGAGGAAGATATATAGTAAATGGCAGAACCCTTAGTATTAGCATACAGAGGAATGTAGGCAAAAAGATCCACAGTTGCCCGAAAGTGACAACACAAGAGGATAAGATGGTCAAAAAGGCATATGGCATGCTTGACTTCATTGGTCAGGCATAGAGTAGAGAAATTAGCAGGTCTTGTTGCAGCTGTATAGAATTTCAGTCAAACCATGTACAATTCTGGTCACCATACTACCAGAAGGACGTAGAGGCTTTGAAAATGGTATGGAAACACTTTACCAGGATGTTGCCTGGTTTAGACGGCATTAGCTAGGAGGAGAAATTTGAAAAATCTGATTTGTTTTCATGTGAGGGGGGGGGGGGTAGTTCACAAAGTTATGAGAGGATTGCAAACTACTTCTCTCAGAGACTTGCGGTTCTGTGGAACTCTGCCCCAGAGTGCAGATTCAAGAAAGAAATTGCTATGTTTCTGATTAAAAGTGCGATAATAGGGCCATGGGGAGGAGGCAAGAGAGTGGAGTTGAGACAAGGATAAGATCACCCATTATCATGTTAAATGGTGGAATGGGCTCAAAAAGCTGAATTGCCTACTCCCGCTCCTAAATCTTACATTTCTATGGATAATCAGAGCCCTTTTACCAGGGTAGAAATGTCAATTGCTAGGGGACATAGGTTTAAGGTAAAAGGGAGAAAGTTTAGAGGAGATGTAAGAGGCAATTTTTTTTTTATATAGAGGGTGAGAAGTGCCTGGAATGCACTGCCAGAACAGGTGGTCAGGCATCTTGACAGATATATGAATAGGCACAAAATAGAGGGATATGGATAACATACAGACAAAGGTTTTTAATTTAGAAAGGCAACATGTGTCAGAGCAATCTTGGTGGGCCAAAGAGCCTGTTCCTGCACTGGTAGACAAACAGGAGGCTGGAAGAACACAGCAAGCCAGGCAACATCTGGAAGAAAGGAGCAGTCAATGTTTCAGGAATTACCCGTCTTTAGGGCTCTGTTCCTGCACCGTACTGTTCTTTATTCCTATGTATTCTTCTTTCAATAAATGCCAACAATCTAAAAGCAACTGTACAGCTATAGGAGATCACATGTGAGCATAGTTTACAGTTTGAGTCAGTTTTGCTAAGGAAGGACATACTTACTTTGGAAATAGCTCGCAAATTGTCCACTAGTGAAATAACTTTGTGGGTTGGTTCCCTGGATGTCCACCCTGCTACTCTCAAAATAGTTGCAAATATGAAAAGACACAGTCAAGTAATCCACAGTTCTCAATTTACCACTTACCAGGTTCCTGTACTTAACAAGCAAACAGCTGTTTATTACAAAACAATCCGTGCTGACACAGCCTG